TATATTCAAATACTTACTCAGCACCAGAATCTGTAGGATTTGATGCTGCAGCTAGATGCAAAGGAGTTGCACCATCTACATCTTGTGCATTGGAATCACTTCCAAATCCAACTAAAGTAAAAACGCAAAGATAATGACCTTGACTAGCAGCATGATGGAGTGCTAACCTGCTATCATTGTCAGTTAATCGGAAATTAGCTCCACTGGATAATAATAAATCTAAACAATCAACAGATCCTTTGAATGCTGCTAAATGTAATGGTGTTCTACCACCAATATCTCTTGAATCTATACGTCGACTATCAACTTGTAATAATTTTCTACAGACCTATAAATTTTATTTAAAAAATTAATATTTAACAAAAATATTAGAATGTATATTTAGAAATATTTTTATTATATATATAAAGGAATATTCTACCTCAATATGGCCTGCCAAGCAACTAAGATGCAACGCAGTACGCTGTTCAGTATTGCGCGCTGCTGGAGATGCACCACATTCTAATAAAGTTGTTGTTAAACATTCATGGCCAAACCTATGTGAAAAAAATTTTGGATTTAAATATTAAAAATAATTGTTAAATAAAAAAATTATATTGTAATTTACCAAGCAGCAACATGTAAAGCAGTATTTCCATTTTTATCTTTAGTATCTGGTGATGCTCCTGCATCAAGCAAACTTTTTGATCGTGTAAATCTTCCATGGATTGCAGTCATATGTAAAGGTGTACGTCCATCTTCTGATTGAACATTTATTCTCAAACCAGCTTCTAAAAGGACTTCCAAGCAATGAACACCATGTGTACTAGCAGCAGCAACATGTAATGGCGTTTGTCCCCGATAATTTACAGCCTCTATTACATAAAGAATAATTTATTATAAAATAAAAATAACTTTGATAATTTGTCATAGATGAAAATATTTTTAAAATTTAAAATAATCTTACCAACGTTTGCAGCATTAGCAATTAACTCTGTAACTGCATCAGCATGGCCATTTAAACATGCAATATGCAGAGGAGTATTTCCATATACATTTTTTGCTTCAATATCTGCTCCAGATTTGATTAATGTATGCATGCATTCTACATTACCAGATGCTGCAGCTGCATGCAATGGAGTATATAAATCCCGATCCTTAATAATATAAATATAAATATATATTTTAAAATATATATTTTATAATATAAATAACAGAAATAAAAACTAAATAAAAAAAAAAATTAAAAATATATTACTTTAACATCTACATCTGCTCCTTTTGCTATAAGCGCTCTCACAATTCCATCATGACCCATATATGCTGCAAAATGTAAAGCTCTTCGATCTTGTCTATCAGAAGCATTTATTACACAACCAATTTGAGCTAAATATTCTGTCATTTCCAAATGTCCATTGTAAGCTGCATGATGCAAACTTGTTCTACCACCTCTGCAAATTTTTATGAAATTATTAATTTATACTTAAAATTAATTAGTAATTATTTGATATAATTAATTAGTAATTAAATAATTAAAAACACAAACCTATCTGCTACATTAATGTTCATTAAATGTGGAACTATCAATTCTACACATTGGACAGCATTGTTTGCAGCTGCCACATGTAAAGGAGTTTGCCAACTACGATCCCTGATATTGACATCTGCTTTATGGCGTAACAAAACTTCTACTACATTATGATTCCCTGAGCAACAGGCTCTATATAAAGGAGTTAACCATTTCTTATCTTTAGCATTTACTGCAGCTCCATTTAATAGAAGGGCTTCTACAATTGCTGGATCTCCCCTATATGCAGCTGCATGTAATAAAGATCGTTGTTCCCTATCTTGCCAGTTTGGATCTTCTTTTCTTGCTAATAATGCTCGAACTTCATCTACATCTCCAAAAAATATGGCTTGTAGTAAAGGAGACTGTAAAAATATTATATTTTATCTCAAGAAATATTAAAAATATATATATTTTTTATATAACTTTAATTATTTTTACAAAAATAAATAATTTTTAATAAAATAAATCTTTAAATAAAAAACAAGAAATAATACTAATAGATAATATAAAAAACTTAATAAAGAAAAATAATTTGAAATACTAGAAAATACTTACACTAAATAATATTTTAGTTATAATAGATATTTATGAAATAGATTTATATTAATTTAAAGATTTTGAACTTTAAATTAATGTTTATAATAATACTGTAGGATAAAATGTAAATAAAATCATTATATTATAAAAAATTCAAAGCAAATCGAATATTTGACACATGAATATAACCTCCGATTTTATAATTTATATATTTGAAAATTTTTTAATAAAATGCATTTATTTAAAAGAATAAGACAACATACCCCATCACGCAATTCCTGCACGTTCATGATTAATGAGATTTTCAATTTATACAAATACAGAAGTATTTATAAAAACATAGTTATAGAACCGTAAAAAACTGACATAGTAGAGTGAGTCATACTTCACAAGTATCATTAGAGATGTTATTTTCTTTTTGCAATCGGCAATTTATTAAAAGCATATTGTTAATTCAACTGCTTTTTCAAATAAATAGAGGTATCATTTATGTAAATAAATTACGAAAATATGCATAATAATTGTATCTTCAAATATAAACAGTTATAGCTATCTTCTCATAGTGCACTCTATCCTTATACTGTCAAATTATCAGAAGCTTGTAAACAGATGAAAATGCAAACGCTACACTCGCGCGAAAATTGAATTGTTTCTTTAAAATTATATCAAATGACACATGTTTATTTTTCATTTGTTTTCTGTTATATTATATATAAATAAAAGAACTCATTTCTGGCTAAATAATATTTTTACATATTAATTTTCTAGGCTGATATGGATATTGATATATTTAATCAAACTCAATATTGTATAGATAAATTTAAAAAAAAATATGTAGATAAATTTAAAATAGAATTAGAAAATGGCACATTAAACGTAATACCTTCGAAATTAAAATTTACTTTCGATTCTGATAATTTTAAAATTCAAGAAAAAACAATAGAAATTGCAAACTACTTTTCGAAGCCATGTCCCATTCAATTTTTACCACTAGAAACTCAATATTTTAGAATTAAAAATATTTCTCAAGTAAGTCAGGAATTAAAATTTTTTGATCATTTGTTTGATACTTTATATTTTATATAAAATTTATTTATATTATAGAGAATAATATGGCTTAATCCTGGATCGGTTTTCAAAATAAATATTCTATTTATACCTGATGAAAATAAAAATTATGATGATGTTTTAAAAATACGGTATTTGAATAATCAAATGATGCAAATAAAAGTTTGTGCAAAAATGAAACCCAAATTTTCATTTCCTACTACTATCAATTTTGGAAATGTACCACTTGGTCGAATGTAAGTTTATTCTTTAATTATTTATTTGATTTGTATAGTAAATTTAATTATTTATTGTTGAAGGGCTTATTATAAAATACCAATATATTCTCACGCAGAAAAAGAAATTTCTTTCTCAATTATATTATCTAACGAAGAATCATGTGTCGACATTTATCCTCGATGGGGTTCATCTAATTTTTTTAATTCTTTTAATTTGAATTATTATTATTTTACAAAATATTATATTTTATCCATATATTTTAGGTCATATAAAACCAAAGGAAAAACCAGTAACAATTATGGTTATTTATAAACCACTTCGATATATAAGTATGAATTTTCAAATTCGAATATTCATATCAGATTTATGCAAAACTCCATATGTTATAAATTTCTATGCGTATACTCGACCAGGCCTTTTACGGTAAGATTACTTGCATAGACATAATTTTTTATTAGAAAAAAATAAAAAAATAAATAAACATACAGATAAATGTAATTAAAATAAATATTAAATGATTAGAGAAAAATTGGAAAACGTCAAATTGAAAATGAAAAGTCAAATACATAAAAAAAAAATTGATACAAATATTTACAAAGAAATAAAGCCAATTCCCATAAAAAAGGATAAACCAAAATATTATTTAAACAATTCTTCTATAAAATATATGAGTTTTGAAAATATTTTGTTAAAACAATGTGCTTATTTTCCCTCGAATACTTTGCATGCTGTTAATTGTATTTTAAATTTGAAAATTCGAAAATCATACAACAAATATGAATTAAAGGGTTAGACATTTTATATATATATTTTTATATAAAAAAAATAAATTATTTATTTATTAGGAGCATTGGGTACCATTTTATTTCAAACTATGGATCAGAAAATGAAAAAGTTAAAAAAATTTTTAGTAAAAGTAGAAGATTATTATCAAAAAAATGAGCAAACAAAATTTCATCACAAACCAAAAGTAAATTATGGAAAATTCGATCCAAATCAAATTATTGAAATTAAAACACAACGAGAACAAATATGGAATAAATACAAAAATTTAATAATGAACTCGGAAAAATGTTTATTTGAAAAACAAAAGGTTGAAAAATTAAGACAAAGAATTTTAAGAGTTTCTCAAAAAGTATTTATCTTAATTAAAAATTATTTTTCTTTTTTAATAAAAAAATTCTTTATAAACCATTTTTTTTTTTTTTTTTTTTTTTTTTTTTTTTAGTATCCAACCTCAATATCAGCACCGTCTAAGAAAGAAGATTCCTTTTTCCATAAATGCAAAATTTTACCCTTTCTTCAGGTAGCTCGCAAAATCATATTAAAAAATCGATTATTAAAAGTACTCACAAATTTGCAAAAAATAACACCCGAATTAATTAAACAATTTGAAGAACCAACCGTAGAAAATCAATTACTTATGATACAAATTTGATAATTAAAAAAAAACAGAAGTTTAAAAATGTTATGCGATTTGCTACGAGATAAAAAAGCTTAGTATTATTTTTTTGATTTATAATTTTTTTAATTACTATGATAATTATTTAATTTACTATAAAAAAATTATTTACTATAAAATTTTAAAGAAATTAAATTATTACAAATATTTATTTTGAAGTCACGTGCGTCTTCATAAGTTTTATAGATGGCACTTTTATGAATACCGCCAAAACTTAGGAAAAAGTGTCTATTTGTAGTTGATACATTTATTAATCTGAAGAAACTTCATAATTGTATAAAATAATGTAATTATTTGTAATATAATTTAATATATTATTTACAAAAAAAACATTACTTTTTAGATTTAAATATAAAAAAATGTGTTTAAATTTAAGTTGATATTTGATATTTGAAATGGATTTATATTTTCTTTAATAATATTATACACATGGATCTTTGTTTTACTTTCAATTGCAATGGAAAGGTGAATTTTAACGATTGGGAATTAGATAAAAATGGTTTATTTTTACAAGGAGAAGTAGAAAATGTTTTATATCCACAAGAAAAATATTTTTTATTAGACAAGAATATACAACTTTTTGATTGTAATATGCCAGCTGCAACTGCTCTCTTGGATTTTAAACATTTTAATAAGTGTATGAAGTAAGAAATTTTTTTTATGAATATAAATTATTTTAATTTATTTTAAAAATATATTTATAATATTATAAATATAATATTTAAAATATTATCTTATTTATATTTTAATAGCATGCAATTAAAAATACTCAGCAGGCATGAGATTTATGATCAAGTTTTAAGCTCAAAAACACATGATATTGACTTTTATTATATTAGATGTATTATATCAAAATTTATTTTGTATGTTCGAATGTATTTGAATAGGTAAGATAATTTATTTTTTCAAAATATTTCATCTTAGTTATTGATTATAAATTAAAAATATACATTTATTAGTATTAAAGGAAACTATCTGTCATTAGAAACTATAAACATGGATATAAAAACTATAAACATGGATATTGAAGAAGAATTTAATTCATTATTTATTATAATAAAACATTTCCTTGAAAGGATATACAATATTCCTGATGCTACATTTCATTATGTACCCTCTAAATTAGGCAATCAGGTTTGTAGACAAATAATAATATTTAACATATTAATTTTATACTTTATATATTACAGTGTACACAACCAGAATATCATATGTATCATATGCATATTGAATTAAGATGGTTTTTTATTTCATTAATATATACAAAGAACATATATTGTCAATATTCAATTGAAAACTACTTGGATGAGTTTGAAAACATTCAAGCAATGATAATTAATGATTTAATTTATATTTCATTAAAAATATTTGAAACGGTAAAAGTATATTAGTTTAAAAAAATTTTTTAAAAATTATTATTATATTATTATTATATTTAATTATTTTATATTTAACTTTTTGCAATATGTTTTAGATTTCTTTAACTCATGTACAACAAAAGACTCCATATAATTGTACTTGCATTCGTGAATTATGGCTCATGCTTCAAATATTTATTGATAGTTTATCTGATAGAATGAAATCAAAGGTATTAAAAATTTTTTATGAATGTATTTTATAATTTTCATAATGTATATATTTTTGTGTTTATTTTTTAGACTTTCTGGAAATATATCAATGAATGTATTGATGGATTGTTGAATAGGAATGTATCTAATATTGGACAATTTCTTTGTAAAAATAATGAATTATTCTGTTTATGGATTATTTATCATCTTTCGCTTTTATATGGATACAATAATGATGGAATATATTTAGGATCTAAGTGTTCACGAGTAACTATATTTTAATTTTATTTGCTTTCTTATTTGTTAGTATTGTTAACAAATATATTTATTACTTTGTTATATTTATTTATTTATTTAGATCAGGCCTAATTATGAACAATTAGAGAAGATTTTGAAAACATATATTTCTAAAGGTGGAAAAGATGGTGAACGGGATGAAATTGATGAGGAATTATGTATAATGATACCTTTATTAAATATTATTGTTACCAACTGGTGGCAACCACGAGTTTCAATTATTTCTCTTCTGTGGGATTGCTTTCATAAAAGATTAGATGAACCATTTCTCTTACAAGTATCTGGCCCTTGGACATTATCAATTGAAAAGTATTCTTAAATAATTTATGGTTTTATATATATTTTTCATCATTGTTTTTAAATAAATTTATTGGTAGGAAAACCGCTATGGATCTTCTTAAACAAGTAAAAGAGAGGCTTAATAATATAGAGTATGTTAAAGAATCAAGTTATGGAATGTTTTTACGTTTACTTGGTAAGTTTTTAATTTCTATGATTTATTTCTAAATTAATAATTCTATTTATATATACTTATATTAAAGGATCTTTTTTACGCATAAATTATAATAATAATGATACAAAATATTGGAACCAAATTAAAGGTCGTATTTATTCTAAATTTTCAAAAGGTAAAGTTCAAGAATTTTCAATAACTGGTTTATATAATTTCATTTCATTATTTTTAACATTAGCTGTTACTACTGATACTATAAATGTTGTAAGTAAATCATCTGTTATTGTTTTTAAAGATTTTTTTTATGAAATTTTTTTTATAAAAATAAATTTATAACTATTTTTTACAGTGTTCAGTAATGTTAGATCTTTTGCCATTGACAAAAGAATATAATAATGAAAATAGTAAAAAACATAATTTAATTTGGAAAGGAAAATTAGCTGTTCTTATTTTATATAACGATTTTAGATTAAATTTAACAAATATAGCACCTTTATATATAGATACGGTATAATATAAATT